TATATATCGTTAATTTCAAATCTCTCTCCTCTAAGCATAAGGTTCATAAAAATCTCTTACGTAAGCTTCTACAAAAAATCTCTTGTCTTTTATTAAAATCCATCCACGCGCATTCTCTCTCCCCACCTTTTCCTCTCTCTCTCCTACATATAATCTTTCTATAAAAAAAATATTTTATCTCTCTTAAAATCTCTCTCCATGTCTCTTTCTCTCTAGTTTCTATAACAATCTCTTATACATTCTTTCCCTTCATATCTCCTATCTCTTATACATTCTTTCCTTTCATATCTCCTTCTCTCTATATCTATCTCAAAGCCTTTAACACTCTCTCTCTAGTTTCTATAGAAATTTCTTATACATGCTTTCCCTTCATATCTCTTTCTCTCTATATCTATCTCAAAGCCATCTTGTTAGAGGGATATTTGACTTATTGAAACTTTTTCTTTTTACCCATCCAAATTTTAAAATTTAGAAATTGTCTTATCTCATTAGTCAACAAAAAAATTGCTATATCTCTTTTTTTTTTTTTTCAAAGTATCTATAGAAATCTATCATGCATCCTTTCCCTCTATATCTCCTTTTCTCTCCCACGTATGGTTTCGATTAGGATTCTATTGGTACATGAAGGTGATATTTATAAACTCTCCTATCTACAGTGAGAATTCGTTTGTTTGCGTATAGCTTAAAATATCTCTCCATCTATATATTAACTCTCTCTTCTCTGTCTCACCCTCTCTTCTCTGTCTCTTACAATTCCTCTCTTATGGCAACCTCTTCACAAGAAGAAATACCCCACCACCACTTTCTTCTCCCTCCCAATCCTATGCCTAAAAGAGAAACTTCTTCACATGAAGAATACTCCTATGGACTTCCAAACGATCTTATTGAACGAATCATCCCATCGTTGCCTGTAAAATCCATCTGCAAGTTTAAGTGCTTGTCAAAATCATGGAAACAATTTCTCTCCTCTCTCTACCTTGCTCGAATCCATTATATCTCTCATCGCTTACCTTCTGCCCCTTTTGCCCTCTTCTATACCATGAAGGGCTTCTTTTGCCTACGCCTCTCTGATATAGTGAACGGCGCAAAGATACCCCTGAAACCCATAAAATTATTAAGTGGTGATCATCACAAGCAAATCAATGTAGCATCGCATAGCAACGGCTTGGTGTGCTACATGCCCTGGGAATTCAATGATGCTCTGCCCCTCGCGATCTGTAACCCCGCAACGCATGACCACATTGCCCTCCCTAGGCTCCCACAATGGTCTAGAAAATCTAAAGGCCGCATCCTTGGGTTTTATTTCAACCCTAGTAGCGTATCCTTCACAATTTTGGTGACCTTTTTCCTATATACAACGATTGGTGTTGAGCATTGGTTGTTTAGCTCCTCCAATGGATACTGGAAGAAAATAACAGATGGTTTTGAATTGTTTCCTCATCCGGCTACTTACTTGTGCATAAAAGGAAGATGTTACCGACTCTACAATGACTATCAAACAGCTCGCATCAGGGTTGCAATCTTTGATTTGGATAGAGGGAAGTGGGCAACCCTTGCGTTGCCTTCTGAAGTGAAAGCCTCGGTGACCACTCCCCTTTATAGAGGCGACGACAAAGACGAGAAGTTCAAATTAGTGGAGGGTGGGAGTGGAGATAAGATTTGCCTGGTTGATGTGTCCATAAAAGAAGTGCTAAGGATTTGGAACCTTTGCCTGTTGGAGGGGAAAGCTGGGGTGATGGTGTTCCATTGGGAGGAGAAAGCTAGGGTTGGCCTTTGGAAAGATTGTGAGCCTCTCCTCTGTTTTCCTTCTAGGGATATAATCTTTCACCAACATTATGCATTAGTAGTGGCTATGGACCCCTCACTTACGTGTATAAAGAATAAAATAGAGCTTCTACTCTACGATGTAAGGCGAAATAAATTGGTGAAGAGGAGTTCTATGAAATTGAATATGAGGAGGGGGTTTCTATGGGTGGGTTATAATGGGGAGGATGGTAAGGACTATCTAGCAGGGCACATTCATGTCTTTCCCTATCGAGAAACACTCCTCCATTGCCACTACAAGGAGTAAATGAGGATGGAAACTAAGGGCTGAAGGAAACTCCTATTTGCATAGGGTTAAAATTTGAATTGAGATTTTTTTTATGGAGGTAGAGATATTTCCTTGAAAAGAGGAGATATGAGGAGAGAGAGAGTGTGTCTATTTAACCAAAGTGAAACGTGGTTATAGGGACAGATTTTCTTTTAGTTTTTTATTTTATATTCAAGTGGGGTGACTTCTCAATTTGATGAGACTTGGGTATTTTTGTAGTGAGCTTTTTATGAATGGAAAAGATAAGAGGTTTTTCTTCTCATGACTTAATTTATAAAAACTTTGATTCCTCCATAGTTGCCGAATTTTGTTGGTTTTAAGTTCGAAATAATGCCAAATGTAATTTTGCGGTCTCCTTTAACATCTTAATTGTAACTGCAATTACTTCAGCAGTAGTAACTTGTTATTGGAATTATTCTTCGGAGAGAATTATTACTTTGGCATTCATTCTCTTTTCATCTATTGAACCAATAATTTATTTGCATCCCTTGTTTTCTTTGGTTGTGGCAATTATGATCTTATTAACTCCATGTTATTTTCATTCTTTTTTTTTTTGGTGTTATTTCAATTTCGATTTTGGTGGCAATTTCAATTAACATATTCAAGTCCGAATTTAGCCTTCTAATCCTTGTTGTTCTCTTAGTAGAGACAAAGGGAGTCTTTTGTAGGAGAGAAAATTAGTGTGTGATACTTCTTATCATAGTTTGGTATTGGGGTCGTTGTGGTAGCATCTCTTGTGCCTAGCTAAGGTCCATGCTTCCATTATCACTTAACACATTAAAAAACCACTAACCATTTAAAAAATGGGTAGGGGCTCGTCATCCCCACTAAATTACTAAAAATAACCTCCAACATTTTCCTAAAAGTGCCTAATGCATTAAAAAACCACTAACCATTTTAAAAAATTGGGTACGGGCTCGTCATCCCCACTGAATTACCAAAAATAAGCTCCAATATTTTTCTAAAATTGGTTCACATCACTACTAAATCTCTTGCCAAAATTAAAATCGGGTATAGGCTCGTCATACCCACTGAATTACCAAAAATAACGTCCAATATTTTCCTAAAATTAAATTGTTGTTTCATTAAAATCTCTTGCCAAATTAAAATCCGGTAGGGACTCATCATCCCCACTAAATTACCAAAAATAACCTCCAATATTTTTCTAAAATTGTTGCATATCACTGTTTCATTAAAATCTCTTGCCAAAATGAAAATCGGGTAGGGACTCGTCATCCCCACTAAATTACCAAAAATGACCTCTAATATTTTCCTATTAAAATCTCTTCATTCAATTCTCTTTGCCAAAATTAAAATCGGGTAGGGATTCGTCATCCCCATTGAATTACCAAAAATAACCTCTAATATTTTCCTAAAATTGTTGTATATCAATGCTTCATTAAAATCTCTTGCCAAAATTAGTGCGCGGTACTTTTTCCTTAGACTTCTAAAATTAGTGCTGGTACTTCTGAATGGACGACTAAGTTGACATCAATGCTTATATACTTCCCTCTATCTAATCTCTTTTCTTTAGACTTCTAAAATTAGTGCTGGTATTTCTGAATGGACAACTAAGATGACATCAATATATATACTTCACTCTATCTAATCTCTTGCCAAAATTAGTGCACGGTACTTCTTGCTTAGACTCTTAAAATTAGTGCTGGTATGTCTGAATGGACAACTAAGATGATCTCAATGCTTATATACTTCTTTATCTATTTGAAGAGGGATTTGGTCATTATATTTTATTAAAAAATTCTTTTTAATATTTTTGTTGGTGCGTCCTATTGAGAAGATGATAAGTACCAAATTTCATATTCATACAATTTTTAGAAAAAACTCTAAAAATAAAATTACTTTGAGACAACGGATCTACATCAAATGGTCAATGGCTCACTTGATCTAAATTGGATGGCTACGTGGGGACAATAAAATCCATGTGAGATACTTTCTATATCAACAAATCAATCCTTATCTAAACATACTATATTTCTTTTTCTATGTTCTAATTAGAGATAGAGAGCGATAAATAAAGTATATTGGATCGAGTTTAGATGCTTATTATATCCACGAAATCAATTTGGAGCAAACTCAATCTTATCAACGATCTCATTGCTCCCGTATTTATGGGATTATGAAGAGAGAAGAAGATGAGAGACTTTAAGATGATTTACGATTTTTTTTTTATATAAGAACTCTTGAAACAAAAGACCCATGTAGCTAATTATTAATATATATGTTGCAATATTATACGGTATCCTAGCATATATATAGAGGTTACGTATATATACTTGATCTCTATCTAAAATTCCCATTTTAAAGAAAATTTACGTCGTGTGATATTTATGTATATCAATAATAATATAATGTGAAATATCCACATATATTATAATAAATGTAAATATCATAATTACTAATAGTAATGATCAACGTTAAAAAAACGGATTGACAATCCGGATTGTTTACCTCAAAAATCGTGTCGGATCAATGGACCCGTGTCGGATCGGAGAATCATTTGAATCGGCAAGTTGTCTCAAAAACTTTTCAAAAAATTACTATAAATCTCTAAAAATTGTGTTCTTTTAGTTTCTAAAAGAAATTAGGATGGGTGCTTTATGTACTTTCATTACTTTATAAAAATAGATGAATATTGAGCCGTTGTTTTCCTGTTTAAATGCTTATATAATAATTAATTATAATATAATATTATAATATTACATCAAAACAATTTAAAATATTAGAAAATACTTCTACATAATAAGATTAACAAAACAATTTATCATATAAAATAAAAATTTAGCTTCACATCAAAGTATTAAACATTTATTATTTCGATTTACTCAATCCAAAATTATCATAACCTAACTAACTATATTAAACATTGAACCGTTTTTTGCTACTTTTTCTTTTTGTTTCCAGCACGTTCTTATGTTAGGTCAAATGCAGCTTAAATGCCAATTTAATGTGTGAGTTTATTTGCCATAGCAACGATTCACCACCAGAACCAGGTATTGGAGTATACATTTTGAAAACCATGTCATTTCTCTCTCTCCATCCATTTTTCTCTGAGTTTCTCTCTGTAAGACTTCTTTCTCTTAGTTGCTCTCTCTAGGCAATATAATTATTTTTTATCCCTCTCTATGCAATATAATTATTTTTTATCCTTAAAGTTTTGTAAAAAGAGATTTCAAGAAATTGAACACACCCCTCTTTTTTTTTTTTCTTTGTTTCTACGTTTGTATTTTTCTCAGGAATTTTTGTTTTAACTAAAATTCCCTGTTTTTGCGGGAATTCTTATTTAAACTATAATTCTTTTTTTAAAATGGAAATTCTTGTATGAGGAGAGATTTTTAACGAATGGTTTCTCTTGTTTATTTTCCATTTTGTTTTTGTGAGTATTTGGATAGAAGTGAATGTTCAGATTACATTTCTTTAGCTTGGTTTTAGTTGGTTATTGAAAAGAAAGTGATCCTTCTTGCATTAATATGTGTGGAAAATATAGTAACTTGTATTGATGTTTAGGAACAAAGTTGTGTACTACTAAAGAACTAACATAAGTAATGAACTACTTTCTTAATATGGGTATACACATAAGACTAAAGAAAATATTGTTCCTAACCTTGAGGTTTCTATATTTTCCACAATATAAATATTTTTTTTATTCTTTGATTGGTTATTGAGTTACAGTGAATTTGGTTGGTTGATTTCTAGTTTTCTAATAGGGAGTCAAAAGCGGTTATTATATAAAAAGAATTAAATCAAATGATAGTCTTTAACTATAATGTAGTCGCCACTTTATTAGATTTGATCTTAAATGGCTGAATTATTATTTTTTTCTATCAAAAAGATATTGGAGAAAGGATATTGGGTGAAGAATGGAGAAAGAAAAGGGATTTGATCTTAAATGGCTGAATTATAATTTTTTTCTATCAACAAGATATTGGAGAAAGTATATTGAGTGAACAATGGAGAAAGAAAAGTGCATGTTACTCTGATCTTAAAGTATATGGGGTGAACGTTATGGCCGATGCAGAAGTATCTCGAGGAGTATCTGGATAATCTGCTTCAAACTGTTAGCACATCAGTAGCAGGGGAAATGGGATCGACTCAAGATCAAACGAATGGGAAACTACTAGGATCTATTCATTTTATCTCTCATTTTTTTATTCAAATTTCTCATTTTTTTTATTCTTTCATTTGTTATGTGGACAATTGAATGAAACTAAGGAGCCGTTTGGGAACCTGCAAATGAAAATAAATTAACTTTAATGGTAAAGAAATGGAAAAAATTATCCGAGATTTCCCTAAAAATCAATAAATCTATTAAAAAAAAATCTATTAGGCGCTGGACGGCTAATCGGAGAACTGTGATAACAACCAATATCTCATTTTACAAACCGAATCGCACATATATTTAAACCTCAAAAATTAAATATCTTCCTTTGGAAACCAAATCACATATATATTTAAACCTCAAAATCTAGAACGAACACATATATTTAAACCTTAAAAATCAAATATCTCTCTCTAGAAACCGAATCACATATATATTTAAACCTCAAAATCTGAAACCTAGCTATTGTTTATTTCCAGATATACAAAATTTATTTTTTTGGGTTCTACAACCAATATCTATTATTCCAAAAAAAAATGGATTTGGGTTCTCATTCCAGATATCCAAAATTTAGTTTTTGGATTCTGCAAACAATACGGATTTGGGTTCTCGGCTACGATCAGTCTATTTATTTTTTTTGGCCTTATTTTTTCTTTTTTGGTGTTGTTTGCTAATAAATTTAAAA